AGCAAGGAATAGTTTTCCTATCGGATCAGGTAAGAATTTATGACCAAACCAGAAATAGAGAATATTATGAAATGCAAAATGGATGACTTTGATTAGATTAAATTAAAAAGTTTTTGCACAAACAAAGCCAGTGCAAACAAGATTAGAAGAGAAGCAGAAAACTGGGAAACAATTTTTACAGACTGTGTGTCTGATAAATGCTTCACTTCTAAAATATATAGAGAACTGAGTCTAATTTATAAGAACACAGGTCATTCCCCAATTGATACGTGGTCAAAGGATATCAACAGGCAGTTTTCAGAGGAAGAAATTAAAGCTATCTATAGTCACATAAAAAAATGCTCTAAATCACTATTGATTAGAGATATGCAAATCAAAACCACTCTGAGGTACTACATCACACCTAGCAGATTAGCTAACATGACAAAACAGGAAAATGATGAATGTAGGAGAAGTGGGAAAATTGGAACACTAATGCATTGTTGGTGGAGTTGTGAACTGATCCAGCCATTCTGGAAAGCAATTTGGAACTACGCCCAAAGAATTATAAAATTGTGCATGCCCTTTGACCCAGCAATACCACTTCTACATCTGTATCCCAAAGAGATCATAAAATGGGAGAAAGATCCACACATACAAAAATATTTACAGGAGTTCTTTTTGTGATGGCAAAAAATTAGAAATTGAGAGAATGCCCATCAATTGGGGAATGGTTAAACAAGTTGTGGTATATGAATGTAACGGATTACTACTATGCTATAAGAAATGATGAGCAGATGGACTTCATAAAAACCTGGAAAGACTTGTATGAACTGATGCAGAATGAAATGAGCAGAACCAGAACACTGTACACAGTAACATCCACATTGTGCACCAATTGACTTTGATAGACTTGGCTCTTCTCAGCAATGCAAGGATCTAAGACAACTCCAAAAGACAATGAAAAATGCTATCCACATCCAGAGAAAGAATTTAGTCTGAAATTCAGATGGAAGCATACTATTTGCTCTCTTTTTCTTCTGTTATTTTGTTTTATTTCTTCTTTCTGATGGTTCTTCCCATTAGTTGTAATTCTTCTATACATCATGACTAATGTGAAAATATGCTTAATATGAATGTATAACTAGTGTCTATAACAGATTCCACACTGTCTTGGGGAGGGGGGAGGAGAGGAAGGAGGAGAAAATTTAAAACTAAAAATCTCATGGAAGTGAATATTAAAAACTAAAAAGAAATAAATTATTTAAAAAAAAAGAAATGTGAGAATACACAAAAATATTTCTGGTAAAATAACATGTAATGTTTTCATCTCCAGTTTGCCATTATTTGGGAGGGGAGGGAATCTTTGTTGAGTGGTGTGCAGTATGTCCAACTCATTGAATTATGCATATGTGCACTAAATAACAAATGGATTATCTCTAAAGAAAGATATCCTACTAAAGGATAGAAGGTACATTTTCATTGCAAATGCAAAATGAAACTCTTTATACCAGCAGTGTGCATTTAGAGTTCTACTCCCCCTACATCCAATCAGTTACAAATTCTTATTAATTTACCTGAACTCCATCTTCAGATATCACCCTCTTACAACTCTCACAGTTGCCCCTCTAGTTCAAGACTTCGTCTCTTCTAGACTAGGCTGCTGAAATCGTATCCTAATTCGTCATCTTGCCTTCAAGCTCTCTTCTTTCCAATCCAAACTCTCCATGTCTGCAGATCCAATATTCCTGAAATCCGGGTCTAGCTGTATCATTTCCCTACTTAAGAATCTCCCCTGCCTATAGAATAAAATATAAACACCTTTGTTGGACACTTAAAGTCCTTCACAATCTGCCTCCAGTCTATGTACAATCTTACTTTATATTATTTCCCCTTATACACTCTATGTTGCTGCTCACTGGCCAGGTAGGCAAATTTCATCTTTTATGTTACATGTGCAGATAGCCTAGGAATCAAAATCCAGATCTCAAAAGCATGGAAAGAAAAAATAAGGTCTTATTTACAAGGCAGTAAATTCTGGGAGAAGGAGTAGACAAAAAATGGACAACTGGTGCCAGGGGCTAGGAGACAAGCTTCAGTGGCAATAGGACTAAAGGTTCCACAAAAGACTCATTAAATATATAAATGCTTATCAGTTAGTGGTAAGAACAAAAACAAAAACATTTCTCAGCACAGGCTGCCCCTAGTTACTAAAACTTGATGTATGTCCCTTCTTCATTTCTGATCCTTAGAATCTCTACCTCCACCTTCAAGATTCAGTTCAACAGCCCTCTTCTAAACAAGATATTTCCTGATGCCCTCAATTATTAGGGTTATCACTGTGTAACTACTTTGTGTACACTTTATATTTACTTCCTTATAAACTTGGAATGAAGTTATGAGGTTGTATTCAACTCTTCAAGGTCTAAGGGAAATTCCCAGAGTCTCCTTTAACCCCAACTTTCCAATTCCAAGCTATCTAATAATAAGCACTGTAATATACTCATCACTTCTTTTACCTAAGTGTTTCTTATATCCAGATTTTAACGCATTTATGTAGAAGTCAGGTGTTAGCTGTAATACATGAAATTTAAATTAGGACGGACAACTATATCTCTGTATGACAGGAATTTCCCTAACAGGGGGCTCTGAGCTATTGTGATTGTATCAGTAACTTTCCATCTGCTGTAAACTCCATAAAATCCCAGAGAATGGAACCCCATTAACCTGAAAACTATTATATTTGTCCCTAGGCTAAAAATAAACTAATTTTTATAAAGGGGTGTGGCTGCTTAAATATCAGAAAGGAGGAAGGAAGGAAGAGAAAGTATTAAGCAAAGAAAAGATTATACCCTAACCTAATTCCCAAGGAAGAGATTGATGAGGCCGATTCAGCTTCATTCCTTTCCAGAATGGAGAAGCAAGCCAAAATTGATAATATTAGCCAACCAACTCTATCCTCCACGATGACACCTCGGTGTGTTACAAAGTTGGTTCTAGCAATACATTAAGACCACTAAAAGTAATATTGAATGTTGGAAAGAGCACTGGTATTAGAAGTAGGTTTGGGGGCAGGTAGGTGGTGCAGTGGCTAGAGCCCTGGCCCTGAAGTCAGGAGGACCTGAGTTCAAATTGGGCCTCTGACCAAACACTTGACACTTACTAGTTCTGTGATCCTGGGCAAGTCACTTAACCCTAACTGCCTTAAAAAAAAAAAAAGTAGGTTTGAATTCTAGCTCTCCTATTTAACATCTGTGTAACCTTAGTCAAATTATTTGATCTTCCTAAGGCTCAGTTTTTTCATCCATGAAATGGATGTAATAAAACTTGCACTATCTTATAGGATTGCTGTAATTTTGTAAATGTTAAAATGGCATAGAAATGTAAGCTATCATTATTTCTTAATGTTAATAATACTAATCTCCTTTGAAAAAGAAATTCTCTAATATGAAGTCACAAGACATCAAGGATCTTGAAATTAATAAAGCATAACACAAAACTATGATTTACTAAGTTTTTGTTTTAAGGGCTAAGACTTAGTAAAACAGCACAGTTGTGCAAAAAGTGACTAGTTTGAAGGATTGAAGGAAGAGTGAGGGCCTGGGCAAGGTACTTAAGATTACATGAAGAGATCAAGTTTATATCATCAGAGTGAAATAGGCAGAGAATATTTACACATACTTCATCCCTCATTTTATACATTCAGATTATACTAGAAAGTTCAGATCTAGCTCTCCAAGTCATAGGAGAAAATAACATTTTTTTTTAATATAAGACAGTAACTTCTGGGGAAAGAGGGAGTAGTTCAAAAGGGCCAACTGTTACCAGGGACAGGGGAGCAAGCTTCAGTGACAACAGGCTTAGAGGTTATGCAAAAGATTGATAAAATATATAGCTGCACATCAGTGTGTAGGGAAAGGAGATAAACAGAAAAGCATGCAGCAAAAAGCACTACCACCCCAGAGAAACAGCTGGTGGTAGAGACTGCTAATGGGTTATGGAAGAAGGTACTCTGTAAAATAAGCATCCTTTAGCTACTAACAAGGAACAAAGTTCAGAAACCTTGTCCTAGGTTTGAAGGAGAGAGGAGGTTGAGACTACATGTGCCCAGGGCAGCCTCACAAAAATAAATTCAAGTTTCAGAGTTAAGCACTGATCATATTCTAGTGCTGTTTGCCCACTTCAGTTTTCTTAACTCCTCTTTTTCTCCTCTTCTCCCTCTACTTTTCAGCCCTAAACCTTTCTTCCTATAAATTGATACCCTCATAGACCTGGGGAATAGATTGGCTCTTTGACCTAACACCAAATCAAAGGAGTTAGAGCTAGACAGAAACTTGGAGATCTTCTATCTCAAACTTCAATCAAGGAAACCGAGGCCCCTGAGGTATTAAGTAAAATGTCCAAGGTCACAGGTAGTAAGTAGCAAAATTGAGATCCAAATTCAGGTTTTCTGACTTGGATCTGTATCTTGACCTACTAGACCATACAGTTTGCCTCTGTCTCTCAGCTCCTCCCCCAGAACTTGATCTGTCTAATTCATTTTGCCTCTCCTTCCCCACCAGGAACTAGAAGATGTACTTTTACTCAAAAAGCCACCTGGGAATGGGATTCAAATGTTAACCAAAGCCTTTCTCTGTTCCTTCTTTCTCCTAAAGACTGTCATTTCATTTTCCAAACTCCACCAGCAACTAAGAGCCTGGGCATCTTTCTTAAGTTAAAGAGACAGTTTTTCTCTCTCCACTCCCACCACCCTCTCTCTCTCGGGCCAGCAGTGCAAACGGAGGGAAGGAGTGTTAGCAAGAAGGAGAGTGGGGAGGAGTGAAAGCAGGCACAGCAAAGAGAGGACAGGAGGGAAGAAGAAAGAAGCTTGCTGGGATTGGGGAGAGGGAAGGTTGAAATCATTGCCTCTGTGTCTGCAGAACTCCGCCCCTGAAGCCAGTGCCCCAAGTATCTCTTGCCTCCTCCTTAGCTCCAAGTCCACTGGGGGAAGGAACCGATCCACTCTCCAGAAGCAACAGCAGAGGCAGCAGCTGCGGTGGCAGCTGCAGCAAAGGGCTGTCACCTTGCCTTCCTGGCATTTTTCCAACTCACTCCCCGTCACAGTTCGCCTTTCAAGTCCTCTGCGGGACCTTTCCAGACGAGAAATTTGATGCTCAGGAAGACTCCAAGATAACTCCGTGGCGGGGCGTTCGGGAAAAGAGGGGCAGGTGAGAATGCGCTGCGGGGACTGTTGGAGAACAAGTAGGGAGGTCAGGCTTTTCCTCATACTAACGACGCGCCTCCAGAGTTCAGGATTCCTTTCTCATTCCCCTTCCTCCTCAACCAAGCTCCGCAGTTGCTTCAGTTGTGAAGTCCTAGAGTACATATGTGTCTACATGCTAAGTACCTGCGACACTGCCCCGACACTGGAACCTTAGGGAGGGGAGCGGGTTGAGAGCGGGGGGGGGGGGGTGTTAGGAAAGGGAACTGGAGAGGAGACAAGAAAGGGGACGAAGATGGAGAAGAGTATACATCTCTGCCTTTACAATCAAGGCTCCTGTGTCTCCTTGGGAGATTGGCCAGCACAGATTTTGAGAGCGGCTGCTAAAGGATTCTCGAGGAATCAAAGGGAGAGCAAAAGCGTTAGAAAGAGGGGTGGGAGAAGGAGGAGGGTCACAGGAGAGGAATACCGCCACTTGCTGTAGTTGCTAAAATAGGAGAGGAAGTCAGAGAGAGAGAGAGAGCGAGTTGGGGCTGGCAGCGGGGTTGGGGGGAGCGGGAGAAGTCTTGGATCAGAGAGAGACTGCAAGTCTGAAAATTAGAGTAGTACTTAACTGCTTCAATAGGAACGGTGCTGTGGGGGGGGGGGGCTACCAGAGGGTGGGAGTGATGCTCTGGAAATACAGAATTAGCCTGCTGAGGACACTGAAGGTCCTAGCACCGAAAACTTGTTGGGCTTGAGAGAGGAATGAAATAGATAAGGAGTGGAAGTTGGTGAAGCATTTAAGGTTGTTTTTGAGATGCATCAGTATTGGGTTGATGTAACTGGCTTTGTCTTCACCTAAAAGAGAAAATAATGACCTGATGGTAGAGCTCTGGGAAACAGAGCTGAACTTCCACTGGTTGTAAGATACTCCTCACAATTTATTTTCTGTTTCTCTGCCTTGGAAAGTGCTTTACTGGAATCTTGGCGGGGGTGCGGGGGGTGGGTGGTGAAAATGATGCCTGAAAAGTAGGGCATTTTGTTACACATGGGTGCTATCAACTATTTTTTTTTCTAGATTCAATGTGTTATATTTATGCCACATTGAACTTTTTTAGCAGGCATTCTGCATGAGGGAAAATAGAAAAACTACACAGCAATCAATAAACATTTATTAAGTGCCTACTATGTGCCAAGCACTGTGCTAAGCTTTGGGGATACAAAAAGAGGCAAAAGAAAGTCCCAGAGTTTCACTATTTTGCTTAATGTTAAACTTAAGACAAGTTTAAATTTATTTTGTATTTAAATATTGAAAGATAAATTGGATTTAAAACTTCTGTTTGTAAGAGGAAGCAAAACATGCTACACTGTGAATCTAACAGCAAGAGGGAAGGGAGTGGGGGACAAGGAAGGTGCTGTAAACAAAAGAAATTGCTGAGCAGAATGAAGGTAAGGGCTTCTGCTCTTTTTCCTGTCTCCTTCCCAATGCAGTTTCTCCCTCTGATTCCACTCCAAACATACAGTTTTGTTTCTATTATAGTAATTGTCTTTTTGTCTAATCCCTAGTAATACCAACACTAGATTTGTATTTCAAGAAATACAAGGTTGTTACCCTTGTTAATCCATGCTAAGGTAATTTCACATCCAAATTACGTTATCAGTTGTCTTTCACCAACAGACTAACATGCCCATAAAAAAAGAAAAAGATATCCTGCCTATGACTAACTGAAAGAGTTACTGGATTTCAAAAGAGATTTTGTTTCGTTGTCACCCAAGGACTTGCATGCGTCCCTTCCTCTAAATGCTCTTCTAATCAGCAAATGAAAAATGAAAGACTGAAAGATATTTGAAAGGAGATAGGCTTACATTATATCCAGCATATTATCTACCCCTCTACCCTGTGGCTTTTTTATTGATGCACAAGAATGTTTGATTGTTGCCATTAAAACCTGTTTTAACAAATAGGATGGCTTCTTATTCACCCTTCCAATCAGTCTAGGTGTGTGGATGATGGACTTGTTAATATTGTTTAAATATTTTTATAGTTTTGGGGAAAAAATCAGATTTACCTGTATGATATGTATAACATCCTTTAATTTATATAATATTGATAGGCAGATAGTTATTATAGGGATTATCAGGAAACTATTAATTCTCAGTAGCATGTTTTAAGACACTACTGTTTTTGTTTTCCTAAATATGCTTTGAAATAAACCATTATTTTTTAAATCAAATTACCCAAAACTCCTGTCAGTTTTTATCTGAAAGTTGGAAACAGGTGTGTGTGTGTTTTTTAATGTCACCTCCAAAGAAAGAGTCTGATCTTGTGTGTGTGTGTGTGTGTGTGTGTTGTAATTATTGCTATTGAACTCCCACATCAACAGTCTGAAAGATACATCCTCATCTACTGTTAAATGCAAGTACGTTGGTTTGTGAAAAGTAAGCTGGACAGTATCACATATGATGAACCACCTCAAACCTTATTTTAAGGGTAATGACTTTAAGAAGTCAATAGTGACTAAGGAAACCTTCATTACTTTTTGGAGCATAGGCCTACAATGAACCTACCCTCAATCCCAAGTGTGAGAGAAGGAAAAAAAAAATGAAAGAAGTTTTGAGGCCTTTGGCTTCCCATTTGATCAGCCTTAAACCAGGCAAACAGGAAATATCCTTTCCTGTTTCTAATATGAAGATCTGAAGACCTGAATTAGCAAGTTACCTCTACTTAACAAATAATAGCCACAAAGTATAGGTGTGAATTTAATTTCTTAGGCATTGTGCCACAAAATCCATTGAAATAATAAATGATAATGTCAAGCCCTGAAATAAATAAAATTCATAAGTGAAGGAAAATTCATCTTTAATAGAGATAAAAAGGGTCTCAAGCCTGGGACCCTGCATGTATCTATAGTACATGGGAGTACATGGGAATCCATCAAGAAAACTTACAGAAAGGTTTTTTTAATACATTCAGGAGAAAAAAGGGGCAGGGAGTATCATATGAGATCCGAGGCCTGGTCATGAGGCCCCAGCCACCCTTGGCAATCTGAGCAAGAAAACTCACTTCATTTTGGTTTACCTTCTTGACCTAATTTCCCCCAAACCTTTATGAGGAGGCAAGGACACTTGGAGTCACTTTTGGTAGCTGTGGTTAGCCCAAGCCAGTTCTGTTTATGGGATAAACAAAGCTAAAGGTTTCCAGCCCAAGCTAATTGAGAAGAAGAGCCTCAAGAGCAGGAATACAAGGCCATTACTAGGACCCTTTAAAGGGAGTGGCAGGGAATATTACATTTGATATTAACAATATTAAAGTTAATTTTCCTATCAATAAGAATAAATCTTATATATAGATATATCTTCAGAATCAGTGGGTTTTCTTCGGTAAGTTTTTATTTTATTTATTCTTCAGGTAAAGGAAAGTGACTGGCACAACCTAAAAACTTAATAAATACTTGTTGCTTGGTGGATTTCTGATTCCCCCACCTCCAAGTTCTGAATGTCTACCTTTAACCATTAGCTTGTATTTAGTTTGTATGTGTTTTCTAAGAGAGGGATCATGGTATAGTGGGTCGAGTTGATCTTGAAGACATGGGTTCAAGCCCCAATCTGACACAAACTGGGCAAAGTATTTAACATCTCAGTGCTCTAGGTACCTCTTTACTTTTATAAGTTGTAGGGAACATGCTGACATACATCGATAGAGGCCTTTTTGGTTTTTTTGTTTTTGTTTTTGTTTTGTTTTAATCTGGGAAATCCCCAAACCAATAAAATCATAGACTAAGCTACTAACCCCATATATTTTTGTATGTAGTTTGGTCTGGGGCAGCTAAGTGGCTCAGTGGAAAGAGTGCCAGGTCTGGAGTCAAAACAACTCATCTTGCTGAATTCAAATCTGGCCTCAGACACTCACTAGCTGCTTGAGCCTAGAAGTCACTTAACTGTTTGCTTCAGTTTCCTCATCTGTTAAATGAGCTGGAGAAGGAAATGGCAAACCACTTCAGTATCTTTACCAAGAAAACCCCAAATGGGGTCACCAAGTCAGACATGACTAACAACAAAATGCTATATGTGTCTTTTTGTCATTTTCCCAGATGCAACGTCACCTCCTTGAGGATAGGGCTGTTTCATTTTTGTCATTGTATCATCCGGGCCAAGCATATAGTAGGTGCTTAATAATTGCTTGCTTGATTTACAGAATTACAGTGTTAAGAGTTAAAAAGGGAAGCTCAGAGGCTTGTGGTAGCTGATAGAATCCCCTCTACAACATCCAATACTGGTGGTCATTTAAGCCTATGCTAGAACACTTCATTTTGTTGTTGTTGTTGTTGTTCAGTCATATCTGACTCTCTGTGACCCCATTTGGGGTTTTCTTAGCAAACATACTGCAGTGGTTTGCCATTTCTTTCTCCAGCTCATTTTATAGATGAGGAAACTGAAGCACACATAGTTAAATGATTTCCAGGGTTACACAGCTACTAAGTGTCTGAGTCCAGATCTGAGCTCAAGTCTTCCTGACTCCAAACCCAGTGCTCTATCCACTGTGACATCTAGCTGCCCCCACTTAAATATATTATAGGTAGCTATTTCCATTCCTGAAAAGCTGTAATTGTGAGACTGTTCAGTTTTACAATTAAGTCAACAACTGGCCCTCTATAATTTCTGGCCATCAGTCCCAAGTCTGTCCTCTAGAACTACATAGATGTAGTCTAATTTATCTGTAACATGACAGACCTAAAATATTTGAACACCACTATCATGCCTTCCCTACATCATTTTTACAGAACAAATATCCCCATGTCTCTAAATTTGCCTTTATATGGCACACTTTTAATCACCTTACCTTTCTGGTGACCATCTTCTGTGATGCCTCAGTTTGTCAATGCCCCTCATAAAATGTGATGCCCAGAACTGACCAGAATACTGGAGATGTAGTTGGACCAAGACAAAGAACAGTGGAACTCACATATTTCTTCTGTACAGTGTATTTCTCTCAATATGGTCTAAGATAACATTAGCTTTTGTTTG